TATCCTGGTCAACGACAGTTTTTGGCTCACTGCAGCTTTATCTGGGTAGCTTAGATAAGTTTCAGGCAATCGTATCGTCCTAGCGCTCTGAAGACGAAATATGGCGTTTCGTTACTTGGCGTCATATGCGGGCTCTCTGCAAACCGACTTATGCACTTGGTTCTATACCAACAGTGCGGAAGCGCATCATTGTGGCTAAAGCGACCTCCTTGATAAATGTCCATGGGCGTCAGACGTAGAATTACTTCCAAAGCCTTAGTAGCTGTGGGGTTTCAGTGCACCAGTTATGTTGAGGCATGTCATTCTTTAAACGTGATCTAGTTTTCGGCTTATAGTAGTCTGCTCGGCTTTATGACCCCAGACAATAGCCCCACAGGCTCGATGATGGCTGTACCTTTAGATCCACATTACTTCCTTGGGGGAGAACCCCCAGTTCTTACCGATGGTACGACAACAATGTTCCTAGGCGATATATGCCTTCTGTATTCTCTAATATACACCGCACAAAAATTATCGCATCTATCAAAGCAGAAAACACAGAAATGAACAGCATAATTGCAAAGTGGAATATATGCCTATCCGCATTTTCCCGAAAAAAGTAAACAAGAACCTAACAGAAGAAGAAACGACATGTTTTTTGACTCGAGTTTTTCAGTTAAAGCATGCTCATTCAGGGAATACTCAGGAAATTTTTAAAATCAATTTACTTTAGCCAAAATATTTAAAAGCATTGGTGATGCGATAATTTTTGTGCGGTGTGTAGAATGATCTGCCTGATCTCCAAATTTTATCCATGGTAATCTGAAAATTGAAAGATTATCTCGAGAGCAATGCGAGGATGCTTGAAGGTGGCGAATTTATATTTGACTTTAATATCCAAGATATTCCACTTTTTAGACTTCAATAAATTTCCATAGGTACCTACTCAATATAAATTCTTGGTCCAAGAATACTATTGTTCATTAATGGGGAAATAAATACTACTGACAGGCATTTATATAAAAATAATTTACTAACTAGGTAATAAAACTCAATTAACTGAAATCAAGTGTGCAAATCAATAAATCCATTTATACAATCTTCATCCATATCAAGTAATTTTGAAGACTGAAGAAGCTATAAGTTTTGAGTAAGTGCAACAGTATTTTTTCTAAGGTATGACACAAAGAACCCAAATTTACATACATACATATCTTGATAAATAAAAATGTATAAATTTACTCCAGATCTCCAATTTTTTTTTAAACTCCCATTCGGATTTCGAAAAACATCGGAACAAACAGACTCCAATCTAAGTTCCCAAGACCCTAAACACCAAAATATATCTCCGCGTTCGTTTCCCTTGTACAAAAAATCCCCCATATAAAAATATCTACCCTCTTCGGCCAAATGTCGGCTCTACAACGGAGCACAGACTACCTGGGGGTTTGGAAAAAAGGGCCCGGTTCGAAAAGTAGTGTCGCAGATGCAGACCCATGCAGCCCCAGCTATTAGGGCCCAGGTAGACTGGGACTGTGACTATTATTCTTTTAGGTTTTGGGTTTATCGTCTCTTGGAAGATTTTAGGTAGTAGGTAAACTATTATTAGGCTAGCCTGAATGAATAATGGTAAAATTTAAATTTAATTTTATATTGATAATTTACAACATTATAAACAAAGTTAATGAATCTGCTATCTGGCCAAAATGATGATAAGCTATTATAAGTTGTTTTTGAAAATTAAATTTCGATGTTTTACAAAATAATCAACTGCAAGTTGTTTATGGTCAATAATTGTTTTGACTTAAAAAAAGATCACCCCAAAAAATTTTAGGTCTCTATTGAATAATGTCCGAACTAGCTAATTGAGAATGAAATGCAACCTGTTTTCTGAGAGTCGTAGGGTATTGTTGAAATGCGGTTGCAAGTGTGACAAGTGCATGTTATGATCTGTTCATAAAAGGGTGATTATATGGTTGATTTGATGTCCTTGTTGACACAGATAATTATCTTTGTATATTTACATATTTCAAAGGGCTAGATATTTTATAACATGTGATAATTAACACAATTAGTAAATTAAATTATTTGTATGATTTTCTTCATCATCGTCATAATAAACACTTTAAAGATGTAATCATTTTCCAGACCAAAACATAAATTTATACCTCGTCATTAAAGCATCGTAATCGATGACATAACACAGATTCGTGATAGCCGCACTGATTCATAAATTAAATTATAATAAAAGTAAAAAAGTGAATTGGTTTCATTCAAGAACGATTTCGCGGTCGCACTTATGATGTTGGAGAGATGATAATTCGATAATTAATGGACTATCTGTGCGCGCCGTTGAATTCACATTATTTTCTTTATTTATGGGTAAACAGCCGGTAGTATAATATACTACACGATGAACGAGCCAACAATAAAAATAAAAAGTAAAGTGCACTTGCGGTTAATTTTATATCGAAATTTGACCTGCCCTTTGGGGAGTGATAAAATGCGTTTACAGGTGTTTGGAGCATCCTTCAAAAGGGGAAGTTTTCAAAAGGGAACGTAAATGTTTAATAACTTGTGCTTTATAAGTGAGATTTATTTTCGTAGTAAAAGGTTGTTGCCTATAAAATTGGATAGGTATTGACACTTTTTTTTTTGATGAATAGGTAACAATATCAGAGCTGGGCAAAGCCGTCAGTCAAAGGGCTTGAAGCACTAAGCCCTAAGCCCTCTATCAAAGTGCTTCAATTTCAAGCACAAATTCCTTTTTATTTTCAAAAGTGCTTCACAAGCACAAAGCCCTCAAAGTGCTTTGGGCTTGACAAGCACAAAGCCCTCAAAGTGATTTGAAAAGTGCTTGAAGCACATCAAAAGTGCTTGGGGTGCCTTGAAAAGGGCTTCAAGCTCTTTAAATGTGCTTGAAGCTCTTGAAATGTGCTTGAAGCTCTTTAAATGTGCCTAAAGCACTTTGAATTTGTAATAAAATTCTCAAAGTGGCATAAGCTACCGCGTACACTCATCACACAGAATTGGTATAGTAGAGACGAACTTTACATTTCACAGAGTAACAGAAGTATGTTTTTTTTTGAGATGTAGTTCTGGGGTACTTGGAGTAGTTGGGGTACTACATGGTAATTCAATTTTAAGGTTTTCAAAATGTTCAATGGGGAAAAGTGAAAAAAATCCAGTGATAAAGTTAATCCGTCATTACACGCGTCAAAAAACTTACGTCGTTACACGCGTTCGGTCAAATCGACCGACTGCCCAAAAGTTTATATGAATTATTACCTTTTTTCGCGAAGACGATCCCAAACGTATCCTGAATACTAAGGCATGACCTACGCAGGTTTCCTAATCAATAGAGACATGAAACTATCAAATATTACCTGCGTAAGTCATGCATTAGCGTTCAGCATACGTTTGGGATCGTTTCCGCAAAAAAGTGTACGAGCACTATGATTCCTAGAATACGCTCCTTGCATCAATTTTTTGCTGATTTCGATAGTCCATGAAAAATAAGCCAACACGTGTTTTTTCTTTTGCTTCTTAGTCAAAAATTGACGGAGATACAACACTATGAAATCTGCCTATGACGTCACTTATCTAATAAATAAGTGACGTTGCACATGCTCAGTATATCTATATATACAAAACTTAATATTTGAATAACTTCCGGAATAATCATATTTGGGCAAAATAAAAAAAAAGTAACGATTTTTTTTCGATTTCCTACAGTTTGCAATAAACAATAATCAATTTAATTTTCCATGCAAGTAACCTATTCATAATCATTACAAAGGCAATTATATTATGCAGTACAGTTACCGTATTGTCGACGGCCAAAAGTACACCCAATATCAGAAAATGCCAATTTTGAACACAAATATTTTAGATACTCAGGTTCACGCGCCTAGTCAAAAGCACCGACTATGAAAACAACAAACTATACTTCAACCAAAAACCAAAATATTTTTGGGCTAATGGATAGTGGAAAACCTGCATCAGGCATTCCTGGATGGACAAAACTGCCACTCTTGTACCAGTGGCGTAATTACTGATTTTATCAATGTTCGGTCTTTTTGACCGACCCGCGTGTACTCCCGGGTTAAATAGGGTACCAATATAAATAAATTATTTATTTGAATAAGTTCATTCATTTTTTTTTTTTTTATTCCATTCTAAGCTCAAACCCAAAACCTCCATTGTTAAGAGAGAAAAGACATAAGACGGTTCAAGTTCAAATAATAGAAAAAAAAATTAAGGGACGAAATACGATCGAAAATTTTTAAGTGGGGGATAGGTTAAATGATGGTCAATTCAAATTCCTTTTAAAGTGCTTCAAGCCCTTTTAAAGTGCTTCAAGCCCTTTCAAAGTGCTTCAAGCTCCCAAAAGTGCTTCAAGCCCTCTTAAAGTGCTTCAAGCCCTTTCAAAGGGCTTCAAGCTCCCAAAAGTGCTTCAAGCCCTCTAAAAGTAATTGAAGCTCATTTAAAGGGCTTGAATTACTTTTTTCAATTACAAATTACCAAGCACTTTTCTAAAGTAATTGACTTTGCAAGCCCCAATTACAAATCTATAAAAGGGCTTGAAGCACAGGGCTTTCAAGTCCTCAAAGTGCTTCAAGCACTTTCGCAAGCACAAAGCACTCAAGCCCTGCCCAGCTCTGAACAATATCAGCAGACCACTGTACTATGTATGTAAATTTTCAATAGTTCTCTGGAATAGTTAGGTAGATATAAGCTTGCATACCATACTAAATTTCTCTGAAAATTCCAATTCAACTAAAACTTAAATAATTTCAGTTTTATTTTATCCAACATCAGAATTCTTAGAAAATGTTATATCGAGTTCCACAGAGTGTAGTGAAAAATCCAATCCAACTTGAAGCCTCTCAGCCTATTTTACGACCGGTATTTTTGAAAAATTCAAGCCCCTCGTCGAGTAAGAGCGCCTGCGTCGAAGCACACGAGTTGTGTGTAGCGTCACAACGGATGGTGGGACTTCGACTAAAACTCAAACCGATTCTATAGCACAGTTGTGCGGCGATTCTACAGTTTGAAGGTAGTTGGACGATTGCCGCAACATCGCAAGTTTCGAAATTTGTCGGGTTTTTTTTTTTGAGTTTGCGATGTGAATATGTGTTTAGTTCGTGATTTCGGAGGATTATTTGAGAGAAATGTAAGTTTATTTGCACTCTTATGGTTTGTGTGTATTTTTTCCGAATTTATACAAAATTCTTCAAAATATTTTTTTGTATAAAAGTTTTTCCAAAAATGTTGATAAACTTATTCACCTAGAAACAATTATTTTTTAGGATAATAATATGAAATTTTCAAATAATTCTTTAATGTGAAACTTTTTGAAAAATTGCTTGAAAATTTAAAATTCCAATTTGGAGACTTGTTTATTAACTTCAAATCGGAGCGAGTGGTCATGGTAACGCGACATAAACAAAAATATTGTTGTAGTTGTATCTCAATTTTCCAATTTTTGTTGTTTGGATAAAATGTTGATTTATGTTTCTTGGAACTTGAGACCAAAATAGTGTCTATGTTCTTTCTATGTATTTGTACACAGGGGTTCTTAAAGTTTCCTTTATAATTTGTTTTTCTCAAAAGCTGATCTATACAAAATATGGATTATAGTTCTAGAAAGATTTAAATTGAATTTTAATGTAACATTACTTTTACACATACCTATTCAGTTGAACTAATTTTTATTTCAGTTGCACTAACCAGAAATTGTTCAGTACCTACAATTCTAATGTAAAAAGTTTTCAGGTTTAATTCTTGTGTCTCTCCATACCTAATGCTCAATAAATAGTGATATGATCCACAATTATTCATCATCACATTAATTAAACACCTACTGTTCGTTCATAGTATGTGCACCAATAATTGCTACCTACAATAAAATAGTTATTATGGACAAAATCAATTTATTGAGGCGCACTTATTGGGTCTTATAAATCTTAAACAATGTAGTCTTGCATACCTAAGTAGCCAAAGTTTATTACCACCGTAAATCACAATACAAACCAGGAAAGTGCTTGATATAATGTGATAAAATTTATTGAACAGGCAACAGGTGAAGGGATGAGATTAAATTTTAAAATATGCAATTTCTTTTTAAACTTCCAAAAGTTTTGTGACTGAGAATCTATTTGAATGAATCATAAACTTTGGAATGGTTAGCAGTGTAATAATCTATTTGCTCTTGGAATAGAGGAATCTTGAAGGTTTATTTAACATCAATACTTGATCCAAAATTATTTGCCAGAGGTGGGCCTCTCTAATCTTCTACAGTCTCAGGGCGAAATCCTAAACAATATCCCATTATTCCAAAACAAATAATTACTTAGAAATTATAACTAACCACTTAAATTGCAATTTAGTTATCAATATTTATACATTATCCTAGCGCATTCACCAATTTACACAAAACTTGGTACCCCTTAAACAATGATTTGGGTTTTATAACAGTTTCTTTGAAATGCCTCATATTAGTTTATTTCCCATTGATACAAATGGATATCTCATTTAGTTATATCTCAAAAATTTTACATTGTCATTGTCTATTGCTCAAAAAAAATATTTAAGGGAAGGCAAATGCTGAACCCAAGCCAAGCAAAATAATAAGTAAATTAAATAGAAAGCGCGATAGCAGCACTTATATAAAACCAAAAAGATTTGTAAGAAGTGAAGTGAGCCGCTGTTGTGCTGTTGTTGCCGTTCACCATACAATGTAGCCAGCAAGTTTCACTGTTGTTGGTTTTGTACTTTTTGGATTATGAAGAAATTTACTTTTGAGAAAGGACTAGCGTTAATTAATAGGTATTGCACTTAAATTTCCCTTGTACACTAATAGTACTGCAATATTCTCGATAACGCTCAAAACTCCTATACCACAACAGCAAGCGAAAAACCGCAAGGTTGTCTTGTGTACAACTACAAGGGTACAGTTAAAACCTATTTACTGTCGACTTTATAAGCATGTATGACGTAATTGAAACAGAATTCAATTGAGTTGCAATTGAACACTTGTTTCAAAAAATCTTGAGCCTAAAGTATTTTGAGGCAATCATATATGCAGTAAAAAAAAAAACGGAACATGCGCATATAGGAATTCATTTAATTAAAAGCTGCATGCTCCATCCGGCGAATGGAGCTTGAAAAAAAAATTGTAGCAACCAAGAGAGCCGCTTTCTATTCAAGTTTAAAAACTTTATATTATTTCCTTTCTGCCTGCTGTACAACAGAGCTTAAGTCAGTCCTGCCTGGTTGGTCGAGTCAAGCCGCTGCTGCTGCGGGCCGGTTTTAAAATCGTCGACGAAGGCCGATTGCTTTGCTCGCTTGTGTCATGAGAAACTACGTCTCCTCAAGGTTATTTCGAACCATGGGACGGTTTACAACACGAATTCGAAACGAGCGTACGGCCTGCGCGCTGTTGCCGCCAACTGCTACTCACGAGAAATGCCACAACCGCTAAATCATCATTATAAGCATCCTGTATTCTGATGAAAAAATGTGGAATTTTTTGTTAGGAATTGCGAACTTTTAATAAAAATCAAGTCAATTGTATTTAATAAAAAGGAAAAGCCAATCAAAAAGATTGTATTGTATATTCATACATCCTGGTTCATATCCGGCTCGAAGGACCAACACGTTGAGGGGTTTTTGGATGAAAATCCTTTCGCAAACTCCTGGTAGATGATTCAATGAATATTGTTACTTTTTAAATTTTCCACAGGAATAATGAAAAATACGTGTGGCGAATGGAAAATATATTTTGACAACACCTTATTATTTATAGCATCTACACATGTCATATACTCTTGCCTAATAACAAAACCCAGACTATGCTGTGTTGATGCGACAATTAAAGTTGTGCTGGGAATAAAAAAATTGTACAATAGGCATTAGATGAACACTATTTGAAAAGCGCAAGTAATTTTTTTTAGATGTTTACTCCAAAATATATGGGTTTTACCTTTTACCCCGTAGAGTATACATTTATCTATAGATATAGGAAATAAGGCAACGCTGCAATATAAACTCGCCTCTGCCTTGTTGTTCAGCATCGACTTATTGTGCAATTAGCAGCTAAAATAATTTACTGTTCCTTCTTATTGCTTGCAATGCACGCATAGCTTGGATATTTCCATAACTACAACCACTATGTATAATAATAGATATCTGTAATTGGGAATAAGAACTTAAATAGGCAATTGAATAAATTGGAGCTACAAATATGGGATTTTAATCCTGGAAGAGCCCAAGTGGATCATCTGGTTTGCTTAAATTTTTTTTCCAAAAGAATCGAAATGGACTATATCTTAATCCACAATCACACGTAGCTTTTTTTGGAGAATCTTTGTCAATAGCGTTCTCGAGAAAAGCATGAGAGCGTTAGTGCACGTTCTTTTTATTAAACGAATTATAATATTTAAATAAACAAAATGTTGACTATATCAAGTCTCATCAGCGTGGCTAGTAATATGTATAAATGTCATTTTAGAACGTCTTTCTTCATTGTCCGACACCTAATTTCCATCCTCTTCTACCGTCGCAATCCTCTGATGAGAGATTTCTTTCACTCATGGACTTCTGTATGGTCTTCTGCCATTCCAGTTTTGGTCTTCCTCGTTTTCTTCTACCTGTTGGTTGCCAATGCAGCATTTTTCTGGGCCACCTGGTATTTGGCATCTGTTCTACAGGTCCGTAAGTTGTTTCTTTTCAATATTCTTGAACTATCCTGCCTTCTATTCCCATTTGTTGTTTTATACGGTCATTCCTTATTCTCTATCTTCCTGAGATTCGCATGGATCTTCTAATAGCATCCATTTCAACTTCTTCTATTTTCTTCTTTTGTCTGTCTGTAATTCTCCAAGTCTCTGCCTCTGCTCCATATAGAAGGCTGGTCTTTATCATTGTCTCGTATATATTGAATTTTCTCTTCTTTGTTATTTCCTTGCTCCATCATAAGATTCCATTTAGGCATCCTATTATTTTTTTATCTTTAACTATTCGCTTTTCTATTTCTTTCACATCTAGTTTCAGTGTTGTCGAATGTGATACCTAGATACGCATATTCCTAACATTACAGAATTTCCTGACCATCATCAACTTCCAATTTTCCGTTCTGGGTGCCTACACATAGATATTTTAAGGATTGTATGTGGTCCATTTTTTTGGGCAGATGATAGGTTTGAAGAAAAACAGTCATGAAAATCCCAAAAATTCTTTATTTATGTACTACCGGTTTCGAAGCTTTAACGCTTCATCTTCAGGTATAAAAAGAATATTTAATAATAATGAGAGTTGTCAAAATCAGGTCGATTCGGAGGAACAATACCTGGGCATTAGGCAAAATTGTCAATACGGGTAACATTCCTTATTGAATTTTTGGGATTTTCAAGACTGTTTTTCTTCAAACCTATAGATATTTTGTTTTATTTATATTAGCTCTCATTCCTGGTACTCTTCTCTTCAGCTTTCTAATCATATATTGCATGTCTTCTGGCCACTATGAATTGATCATCTGCAAACTGAAGAGTAAACAGGCACATATTATTTGTTTCTATACCCATTCCATGGATCTTCCTCTTCCAATTCTTTAGTGCTACTGCTACGTATATTTCAAAAAGCGTAGGAGAGATGCAACATCCTTGACGTAGTCCTTTATTCACCATAAATGTGTCTGTGAGTTTTCCACCTATCTTAATTCTTGATTTTGAGTTTTTATATAGTTCTCAAGTGTCGTTATATAGGTGTGATTGATGTTAAATTGTTTTAATACCTTCCACAGTTTGGATACTGGAAATGTATCGTATGCTTTTTGTAGGTCCACAAATGTGAGATGGGTCTCCAAATGTCTAACAGATCTATTTTCTATGACTTGTTTTAGACAAAATACGCTGTCTGTACCTGATCTTCTGGCTCTAAATCCGCACTGCTCTTCTTCTTCTTTCTCTTTATAATCTTCCTCACTGAGATCATACGCAGGGTTCTACCGTATAGTCTGCTTACTGTGCTTGTGACTGATATGCCCTGATAGTTATTGCAGTCCAACTTATTTCCTTTTTTGTGGATGGATGATATAAAAGCCGTTTTCTAGTCTTGTGGAACAGGATGCCCATCTGAGACCTTTGAGACATTTCAGCATTTCGAAGTATATCCCTTCTGAACCGCTAGCTTTACCAGACTCAAGATTCTTGACAGTCTTTTTTTATTGTTTCTTCAGATATCTCAACTACTTTTCCAAATACTTGAATATGTCTTGGAGAATTTGATATTTTTTCCGGTCTACTTTCTTGTAATAAACCCTTGTAGTGTTCTATCCAATACTCTGGTTTGATTACCTGGATATTAGCTCTGTCTTTTCCTGGGTTTTTGACATTTGATATAAATCTCCATACATCTGAGCATTTCCTGCCTCGCATGTAGATGTTAATTTCTTCACATTTCTTATCCCATGACTCATTCTTAGCTATAGTGATGCGCGTTCTTAGTTGTCTTTTTGTGACTTTATAAACTTCAAGGTCTTGGTCGTTTTTTGTTGTTAGCCATTTCAGATATTTTTGCTTCTTCTCTTGGACTAATTGCTCTATCTCCTCGTTCCACCAGTATTTCTTGTTTTTTTTTCTTCGTTCCTATTGCTTTTTGGGTGGTTTCTATTAGACTCCTTATAATGTTCTCATAGAGTTTATTGAAGGTACATTCTTCAGGGTTTAATAGTTGGCTGTCAAGTTGCTCCTGATATAGAAATACAGTGCTTTCATCTATAAAACTGTCAAAATTGTATTTTGTTGTATCCACTGTGTCTGTGAGTATGGCATTGATGTTTTATTCCTCTGGGTTCTTATTTGTTTTCCTAAATTGCAACTTTATTTTGGCTCTTACTTAATAATGATCTGACCCGCAAGTGATTTCTCTTAGGACTCTTACGTCGTTTTTCTCTATATTTGTTTTTTGTTTGCTTATTACAGTCAATAATAGTTTTTAGGTTACGGGTATTCTGTATCCATGTGTAGCGGTGAATATCTTAGTTTTTGAAAAATCCGTTGTTTATTCTAAGATTGTGGGTCTCACAGAGATGTATGAGTCTTTGGCTATTTTCATTGATTATTTCTTACAACTGGGCTATTGTTCGTCCTTCTCGTTTTTCCATTGGAATCCCCTATCATTATAACTTCTATATTTCTTCCAATATCTACTAAGATTTCATCTAATTTATCAAAGAACTCCTGCTCTATGCCTCTTCTGATGGAGCGTAGGCTGCTAAAATGGTAATGTTGTAACCATGTAGTTTCAAGTTGACCGTTAGGATATCTTCATCTACAGCTTCCCAGTTGTTGATTCTGTTTTACCTTATCAGCTTCTTAGCGTGGCAGTCTAGACATCTATGCCATAAGCAAAGCACAGTACCTACCAACCATTAATGAGTCCTGATAGGACAAACCGTAAAGTTATACCTATACCAAATCTACTGCAGATAAGACCAGGCTACTAGATACATAGGCTTCAATGGGACCAGTTGACTTATTGTCATGGTGGATCATTGATCGTCCCAGCATGTTATTAAACATGCATCTTCGGCAGCTCGGCTATACTCGGCTTTGGCAGCACCGCCTAAACTGGATACAAGCTAATTCGCCTTATTACTCCCTATGTGTCTAGTAGGTTGGTCCGGTCTGTATAATTCGATTGTGATTGCTTCACAAGTTGACCTCTTCTGTAACCCCTGTGTTATCTTCACAAAATCGAGAACTTAGGTATTTTATTGCTCTGTTGCATTCTATATAAATATCAAATTTAATGAACAAAAATTCAAAGTCTAATCAAATCCTTCTTGTTTCAGAATTGTGCCATGATGGGTTTGCAGTCGACGACCACCGCGGTAGTGACAGGAAAACGTAAACTAGAATCTTTAGATGTGGAAGCTTCGCCGGCAAAGAACGGCAAATGGGACGCCACTCCTACAGCTACGAGTGACGATTGCATAGCTAGATTGAGGGCGGTAGCTGTACCGGCAGCTGACGCGTGGCGAGCCCCGACACCCTCCTTAGCAGCCACGTTGCTGAGCGAAGACGAGTTTGACGATGACGAGTTCGAAGACGAACTCAGCGACGAAGAAAAGTGCGCCGGAGTGGTGCCACCTTTCGAACCTCCACCACCGAGATATGCTTCTCCTGTTCCTCAACAATCTTACAGCAGGTTAGTACAGAGACAATTCAAACATACATTAGCTCACTAATCGATTCGTTTTTCTAGGTATCAATCATCTGATTATTGGCAATATTACCAACCACCTCAGCAACAAACAATCCGATGCGAAGAGAACGGTAAATCCTACCTGGAACTTGGAGCTTCTCCCCAAGTTAAAACGAGGACGAGATGTTGTGACGGTAGGACACGATGGTGTCATGTACCCTGTTATAGACAAAGACGACTGGCTGTGTTAAACCTTTCCATGTGCAAACTGGCGAGGTATAGACAATGTTCTGATCCCTCCTTGCGAAGGTCCGTGCTTATATGCAATACCTTAAGGAGGTTGGAGCGTGAAATGGAAGCGGATCCTCCTGAACCCAGTTACCCTATGTTACCTGAAATGACACCTCCGACTAGGCCTTGTCCTGTGACTGAACCCAGTGGTTACGAACAAAGTTTGCGAGATATGGCTTGTTCTTCGGGTAGGGCCACTCCGTTTCCTTCGCAAGTGCCTGACACAGATTCCGGCTTGGGGGATGAAGACAGTGAATTGACGCGGCCTATTAATTGGGGTTCAGTGCTTAGTTTAACGTCACAAACTGACCTAGAATCGTTAAATAATAATGAACTATACGCGGAATTAGGTCTAAGCAATAGTAGTGATCAAGAATGGAAAGAACCATCGACTTCACGGACTGACTCTATAAATGAGTGGGATGGTTTTATGCACGTATTAGTGGGTGGCTCGTAGCAATAAGCCAGTAATGGTGGTTTTACTCAGGTTGTGATCCGTAAATTAAGAAACTTTTTATTTCTGTTTAAAAGCGATTGGACTGGGTACTTATCGAGTAAGGCTATGCATCTCTGATCTCAATCGCTCAATTAACGCAGCATAGACGAAAATCATGAGCAACTATATAGGCATCAGGAAAATATATTTGTGCTCCAATAAAATACTTGCCTGTTATACAGATTTTTTTCAATAATAATCTATTTTATTGATACCTAAATAATTCTCATTTTGAATTGAATTGAAATTTCAAAAAAAAAAACCGTTACCTAAGCAAATATTGGTGATATTTTAAGACTATAAATGGTGCTTTTTAAGTTAGATAATATACATGACCATAAGACTAAGAGGAAAGAATTGATTTATGATCCTAATTTACCTTTTTTTTTTTTAAACTCATTAAATAAAAATTCGCTCTATGCTGCGTGGCTCAATAATTTAGGTGAAAAAAATGATGATATTAAAAAGCCAATACTATGGCAATATTGTATATACTAGAAATTTTGTATATAATGTAAATAAGAGAAATAAAATATAGGTACTATATGTTTGTACATAAAAAACTAAATAAACGTTACTATAACTGTTTTAAAAATTATATGTGAAATTTATATGAATATATAATTGGCAGTATAATTAAAAACCCAGCGATTTTTACAGAATCTAAATTAATTTGTTTAAGTTACTTAGCAAAACAGTTCCTTATTTTTGTAGTTCTTATGAACAAATTTTCACACGGATATTGACAACTTCTCGTTGGGTGACTTATTCTAGTCACCTATCACCAGAATCTGCCAAGAAGTCGTGAGCCAGTATTAAGGTTTGATATAAAATTTTAAACAAAAAACTTAATTAATAATGTTCTAAACCGTCCCAAAAACGACTTCTTAAAAGAGGAAGGTGATAGGGTTATCTTTCTAAGTGTACGCCATATTTCTCTATAGGTAAACAAATAAGTCTTTTGATTCATTAAATTTAGATTTTCAATTGCCTAAAACTGGTTGTGTTATTTAGGCTAATACATAAATGAGTCCTTTATTTTTCTTGCCATAAATTACTTTAACTTTTTTTTCATTTAATTTTTTTTTTGTTGTCAATTTAAAACTATCAAACTAAATTTTAGCTGGAACAGGTAACAATACGAGGGCACAAATTATGACTGTTAAAACTATAATATTGCAATTGGTTTTTTAATACATTATGCTTTTATTCCATTTCAAAAAAATAAATATTATGGCAATCATATACATAATATACAGTTTTTAAGATAAAAAAATAAACTAGCTGTGTCTTTATTCTAAAAGAGTTTTATGAAATTTTGAATAATATTTTGATAAAAGTTGCAATAAAGGATTTTTTCATCATAGGAAAGGGTTCTTTTTAAAACAGTAATGAAAAGTACCTAATTTTTTTGACAAACATATTAATATTAACATATGACTCACATTCCTTTTTAAAATTGATATTGTATTTTTTTTTTCTGTTACTGTTTTGAAGAAAACTTTTTTTAGAAGGGTGCAAAGACAAAAAGTACTTTTAAATCGTCCCACATCGACGTTTCGTCAATAATTACATTTACGTACAACACTTGGATGTGTGCAAATAAACATGTGATATCATGTAATATGTTAGATGTTAAAAATTAAATAAAAATCGGTATATTATACATATTACCTCATTTATTGTTTTATATTTTCATGTTTTAATATATTGAATTAATTAAACATTTATTTTGGTATTTTTATTTTGGTTCTTTCCTATTCCTACTATAAAATACAAATGGTATTTAAAGCATTTATAACTCTACTACTTAAATTCATAGTCTTCACACTTTTTGCTTTTGTCAAAGTGTTTGATAGTAGAGTGCTCCTTATAATATATTTTGACTTTTGCCGGAGCGTCGGAGTTACAAGCTGAAATTTTCACACAATGAAGGTTTTATTTTGTTAATTCAAAATCCCAAGTTAATACAAAATCAGATCCGGCAGTATATTCAAAAATTGAGATTATTGCATGAACATATAAGATCCAAGCCCATTCAAAAAAGGAACAGGTAGGTACTTGAGGTACTCTAGGGTCTAGTAGTTATAAAATTCATGATACTATGGTACCTAAAGTCCCAGGATTTTAATCTGATACTCCAAAAAAATGTGAGCTGGTTTTCAAGTTCAAAGTTACATTGAAGACGTCGATCCGTAGTTATCTTTATATCTTGTGACCTCTCTGAAACATCATTTGACACAACCAACCTACCAACCATAATACCAATAATGAACGAAGAGTGCGAATTATGACGTGCAATGTACCTAACCTGGAACAACTTGATTTTTTTTTGGTTTTGAATTTTTTTAGGGTAGTCATGGGTTGCAACTTTTAGTAAACGTTCAAAAATGGTTGTGCAAACTGATGTTGTATATGAGCTAAAAATTGGTTTTTCCTCGTGACCTACGACATCGTAACAACCATGAAATGATTCTCATAGACTAACGAGTAATGATTCTCTATTTTGGTGAAAATAAGGGTTGTATAGTCGTCTATTTAACGTCGCGCTCTAACCTCAAGAGTTCAATCATTGTAAGAACGTAAAAGCACTGCTTGGGTTGTTTTGACAAATCCAAGAACCGGCATTTATTTCGAAAAGCAGGGAATAAACAAAAATTGATTCTATTTTTCTCAAATCTTAATGGAAGTTTGCTTGGCGAAGATTGTTTATTAAATAACTAAATAGCGAGTCTTTTGAAGGAAGAAGTCACAAGGCTGCACGCAGGTTATCTCCATGAGGTGTAAGGTAAATAGTTATGGATGTCAGGGTGTGTGATGAATTATTGTTTTGATTCTTCTTGACATGGAACAGATTTTCATAAATGAAAGATAAGGGAGGAAAGCTGCATTCTCAGAATGAATACAAGTTACAAGGCTGCGTCTAGCCCGGCATTGAGAATCGGAATCCAGATATGCTTGAAGCTTACCAAAAAAAAAGAAACGTTTGTAGTTGTTACTTCAATATATATTTTCATAGTTTAAATTTTCGCAAATAGTCTTCTTCCAACGGATGTAAAATAGGTCCAACAATTATTAAGGAATGTAACGGTCCACCTAAATCAACTGTGGCCATTTCTATCAAAGAACAAGCTACAATTTTTTGAGTATCTGATCCAACTCTAGCCAGACCAATAGCTAGATTATCTTCATTAATTTCTAGAACTCAAATATATTAACATACGTACTCGATAAGTTAAAAATTATTATTTTACCTAATTCGACTTGTGCCTCTTTCCTTTTCTTTATTATTTGCAACAATTGTTGAGCTGCTTCACTCACAGACATAAATTTAGGAGGCATATATTCCTTTTTCTTTTTCACCAGACTTTCTAATGTAGGTTCTTTTACTTTTATATCTAAAAAAATTTTAAATTCAATTAGGTATCAATATTCATAAATATTTCTTCAATTGTACCTAACAAACACAAAGTATGCACCTTATTCCGAAAATTACTGGCAATTTTATCATAAAAACTATCAGGTTCCCAGCCGTCCATCCAGTAAGGTATTGAAACCGTTTCGCCATAACTGTAAAGTTGTAAGCCACAACATCCTACAGCATTGAGTATTGAAGCATTATGTACGACTCTTACTTCGATGCCATTTTCTTCAGCCCTGAGGACCAAGTCTGTGTGAGTAGTGGCTCCAAATGGGTCTCCGACGACTAGCAAAGCTATATCACTGGTTTTTGCTCCTTCAAGAATATCGTCTGCGCCTTGTTCTACTAAATCTCGATCAGCCACTATTAGTTTTCTACCGTAGAATTCTTCCTAGTAATTAAATTGAGTGTTAGTTTAAAGAGGAACATTGTAAGTTGATAAGCCTTGAAGCTAGACTAGTAGACTTACAAGAGCTTGAGTTCCACAGGTTAAAATCGACGTGTAGGCTTCTAAATACACTCTATCGCATTTTTTTATTATTTCTAGGCCTTTCACTGTGATATCTTTACAGTCACCTAGACCCAGGCCTATGATATAAAACATTGCTATCAATGGATTTACTTAACTAAAACCAATACTTATTTGAAATTTGAAACAAACTATAGGATTTTTGAGTTGAAAATGAAATTTCAAATTTAAATAAATTTAGGTTATGTGTTATGTTAGAGATACACGAGACGTCATGGATGACTGGCATTAGGGCGAGGGATGGCCGGGATGGCAACGATATATCGATGGTTTTTAAATATCGATATATAACTTAAATATAACGATATATTATAATCGATATTTTACATTCGATATATCGAAAAGATATAAGGTCTGTTTCTGCGGAAATAACAAACCTGAGGTTGAAACTAGTTCTGACTGTTTTCAACCAATTAAATTCGCTAAGGGTGGGTATTATAAAACTACTTTGAGAGTTAACTAAAAGTTAACTTCTGGAATTACATGTAATTCAAAAAGTTAACTTCAAGTTAACTGTCAAAGCTGTTTTATAATACCCGCCCTTACTGGACACTGGTTTGTGATTTCTGCAGTGCAGAAACAGACGTATAGATATATGCGATAGTTTATTGTTGGCAGTGACCGCTTATTGTTTAAATTGTAATAAATAAGTATTTTAAATAAGACTGCATTGACGCAAAATTCACTTATTTATAAAAGTAGGCAAATTTTTAATCACCTGCCTGTTAACTTAAGGCAGATAAGTGGTTTTAAAAAGTTTAGACTAGAGCTCAAAACATTTTTACATGGAAAAGCCTACTATCATAATAAAGGGGGTGTGCGCCAGAAAAACAACTTCATCTCAAAAAAAACCGCACCCCTCTATGACAAATTATACCGAAGATATGGCTCTTTGAAGGTACCGCATCTCACCCTATGACGTCACGAGAGCTCGAGCGACTCACGAGATAGTGAAGTAAATTGAATTTACATATGTTTTTTCTGTGTCACCTGCAACAATAAAAAAAAAACACTGACGCGGGCCGGGAACAATCAAATTAACGATGCGGAGCGCGGCTGGACGAAGCTCTCGTGACGTCACACACACTTTGATGCGGTATATCTCAGCGATGGACGCGATGGTTTATCGTAGAACAACGAGGTTTGAACAGTTATTCTTAGATTTTTTTACACTAAAACTTTAATTCTTGGCGCACGCCCCCTTTAATGAATTTTTAAATGAAAATTTTTAATTTTGTTTGTTTCATTGTTTTGTTTTGTTCTGACCGCAACCTTTATTTGTGTCCCAGATACTTTTGGTGACGATGGTACATGTGTTGCTTAGGATTATGCTTTGACATTTATGTTTGTGTATTTTTTATTTAATTGGTTGTACCACAACCCTGTTGTACCTTTTTTTTTATAACCCGATAATTTTTAATTACTTGCACATTACTTAAGATCCATGCTTTGTCAATGAAATTTATTTTCCGACAATATAGTATATTGTGTATTTAGGTGGAAAAGTGACACATTCTCGGCCGATGGTGTAAATTGACGGGCGAGGCGTAGCCGAAGCCGGCAAACACCGAAAGCCGAGAATGTGCTTTTCCACCGAAATACACATACTATTTTTTCTGAGATCGGTTAAATATCTGTTAAACGTTTGTATTTTTGTTCCAATTGTTCAGCAGTACGAGAATCACTTTCCCGGCCTAGGCCGGAAAAGTGATTCTCGTATTGTTATTCATTGACAAAGCTGGGCAGAAAACCGTTAATCCGTTATCCGTTAATTAACGAAGTTAAAAAAAATGCTTAAATTTAACTTTTAAGTTAACCTGAAAAATATTAACGGTTTTCTTAACTTCCGTTACATTAGACTTCCGTTAACTTTAGTCCGTTATATTCGTAAATGACGTTTGTTTGCTTGAATTGCGCGTCAAAGTAAACCGCTACAGTTCACACAGGCGCAGAAAATTTTCAGTTCGCTGCACTACGGGCTGTGGCTTTGTCTGCATAGTTCTATAAGCTCCTTTTTTTGCAGAGGTGAATGGTAAAAAAATCAGCCACCTAAATTGGAAATAGTATTATTCACATTCACTTAGGAGTGTAGGTATAGTACTTTTAATACCCATTTGGAATAACACCATCCTTGTTCATCAATCATAAATCAGATGAAACAAAAAATTACCACCCAATCACAAATCAGCAAAACGACTTTCAAATAGAAACGACTGGTACTTCCAAATAGGTATTAAAAATTCTATACCCTAGCTCAGCCTATTCTATTTCAATTATATATTACTTAGGTATAATTAACTTCAAACATCAGTATAACTTTTCGATGATTAACTCTTAACGGATAATTTTAACTTGCGTTATATCCTCAAAAATTTAACGATTAACGATTATCGAAGTTAATTTTTCAAGTTGCGAATTAACGATAAACGAAGTTAACTTCTTGGTTAACTGTGCCCACCTTTGTTCATTGATTCCTTAGCAACTTATTGAAACATAATTAAAATACCAGAATATTGGGTTTTGCGACCTGTCAACCGGCCAAAAATGCTGACATTTCTTGTCAGTCTCAGAAAAAAGTATATTTTGATTGATGGATTGCGCAAGACTAGGCAAAACGTACCAAATTATGTTGGACTGGTTGACGTTATCAAATGCCTTACTTTTCATCACCAGTTACGAAAAGTAAAATTTTTGAATTGAGGCGTACGTAAATTCTGTTACAATATTATGTATGACGTCCAATTTACGATTTTCATCTCACCTTATGATTGGTCGTATTAGACGATGACGTTCAAAAAACGTTTCAGATGCTAGAAGGTCAGAAAGATACAAACAAATTGAAAAAAAATATTGTCACGAGCCTATTTTGCTGTGACTCAGGGTTTGGGATCTTTTGGGGTTTTAATGAATTAAAACAATAAGTTCCAAAACATTAAAAATAATTAAGTTTATTTACTACAGCTAAAGGATTGATTAACCAACCGATGAGAACATTGAGAACCTTTTGAGAACACTATAAGACATCATTTTTTATAAATGTTGAATAATTGTACTTACCGGAGATCCATCTTTCTGTAGCCCGTAGCACAACTATAGCGCCCGAATTTAGATTTTCAACTGAACTAAAATTGAGGTCTTATCGATCCAAATCGATTCAGAAATGTCAGCAAAATCGTTGACCTAAAACTTAGGTCGTTGGCTAGAATGCTTTTTGCAAACATCTTGATGCGTTTGCTTTATTCAATACAACATTCGTATTGCCCAACTAAATTGGGACATTACTTGTCAATGAACTTTGGTTATTTCGTATTGAAATAATAATGTTATTAAGGGTGATACTTTTGGCTTAAATATCATGTGCAGCGCCGTACACGTGCTAGAAGTAAAACTTATTAAAAACTCTCCCTTATACAACTTTTACACTTAGCGTATGAGTCGGGGTAAAGACGAAAGGAAACGCGCATCTGTAGTGACGTCACAAGGGTATCGGCGCTTGACAATAATAGGCAATCCTTCTTGCGCTTATAATCCTTGATTTATGACAATCAATCGCTGTTTTTCTATGTTTCCAATATCATTTTTGATAATCTTCTATATATATAAAACACAGTTGTGTTGGTGTTGAGCACTTATAACTCGAGAACGGCTGGACTGATTTTTATGATTTTTGCTTTATTGGATTTGTCTTTGTCCATCCTACGATAATAAATCGAAAAAATCCAACAAAAAAAATCTATTTTACTTATTTAGGAAAAAAACTCACTAAGCCCGCATACGGCGCCATCTCTTATAACCGATACCAAGTTTACCGTCACATTTTCATTGCAAACCATGTGGATTTTATTGTCACACACTTTGCACAAAAACAATTTGAGGAAAGCACTTTATTTTTAATTGTTCTTCACAGTAAATATGTCCAAAAATAAATAGAATGACAATGTTTTAATTGTGTATTTTATTTTGTTGTTGGTTCGTTCATTCCGAAAGAGCGCGAACTGGTCTCCCTGTCATTTCTTGACGCTTGACCATTGACGTTCTGTGGCTAAGTTCCGTTTCGCCTCTTAGGCATCCCTTGACAGCCGCGTTCCGTGCCGACTGTTCAGAGTGCTCCGTCCGGCTGGTGTCAAGTGGCAGAGAGCCAGGTTATGAGTCCGCCACAACCATTTTGTATACGGCGCCATATATGATAGGTACCTAGAACGAAGCTCGCCGTTGTGCGGTAATTTCATTGCAGATACAGTAGAACAGAATACTGCTAAGGAACTGCAGCTATTCCAAACAGAACTATTCCACTATTCCGATCAGATAAAGTGGTGCAGAAAGAGTAGATCAGATAGAATAATGCAGATACAGTAGAACAGATGGAGTATTGCAGTGCAGATAAAATGAAACAGGGCTGCGCTGGAGATTTTTTTTGTTTTCTTTACATTTTTTGAACATTCTTGTGCCTGAGTTTATTTATTTGGTGGTAGACTTTATAAGAATAATGCCCACAAGATGCCTAAAAAGGGATGATGTAAAATTTTAATTTTAGGTGACTTCTGATCCAGAGAGTATAAGTTAATTTTCTTCAACCAAAGCCAAATTCACCATCGAAAAAAACTGATTTTAATTCAGTTAATAAAATCTGTTTTTTTTTTAAAGATAATTCCCCAATTCAAAAATTTAGTAACTATGTTGGCAACACAAGCCTTTTCTACAAAAAAATTTTGAAAGCATTGAGAATTTTACATTGTATTGCCAACATAATGTCATTTTGACTTTTATCTTTAAAAAAAACGCACTTTAGATACGTTAACACAACATTTAATAATAGGTATTTAATAATTCAGAGGAGGAACGAAGTTCGCCGGGTCAGCTAGTATTTTAATAAATTTAAAATACTTTTTTCTACAAACGTGTTAAAAATGCAATTTTTAACACCCCCCCGAAGCATTAAAAATGTTACTTTATCGCACTAGTGCCATAAAGTCTTTATAGCACTAGTGTTAAAAATGAAACATCAAATTTTGAGAGCGAACGTCAAAAAAAGTTTGTATTTTTAGTTATTTACATTGATATGAATGGTAAAATTTGAACAACTGAGGTAGCCCGATTGGCCGCCTCATCTATATTTTTCAAGGGATCGATGCAACCCTCTTTTTCTTCTGTATTTTGTTGCATTTTAAGCAAAAAGCATTACTAACCACGACA